ATACAGCATATAGACCTCAGAGTTCTGGAAAGGTGGAAAGGATGAACAGAACAATAAAAACCCAATTTGCTAAAATGTGTCAGGAAACTCAGCTCAAGTGGAATGTCCTTTTGCCAATAGCTCTGTTGCGGATACGTAGTACTATTACCAGAAGAATGGGTCTGTCTCCCTTTGAAATCGTGTATGGGTGTCCACCTCCCATCCTCAGTAATCTAAGGGGGACTTGAATCAGTTGGGTGAAGGTATTACTCAGCAGCAGGTTGTAGAGTTGGGTAAAACTATGGAGGAAGTACAGAAATGGGTGCAAGATAGGTTACCTGTGAACATATATCCACCTGTTCATTCCTATCAACCGGGAGATCAAGTGTGGATAGAAGAATAGAATATTGTTCCATTAGGTCCAAAGTGGAGTGGTCCTTATGTTTTTCTTTTATCTACTTCAACAGCTGTAAAGGTGGCAGAAGTGACTCCGTGGATTCATCATTCTAGGGTTAAACCAGCGGCAGATTCCTGGCAAGCTATTCCAGATTCTGAAAATCCTTGCAAGATCGGTTAAAGCGGGTAACTCAGTTGGAGTGAGAAATAATACGAGGAGATATTGGGACATCTTAGTTGAAAGTAACAACAGATATCAGCAAGTAGGTGTTTTGACGACCATAATAAAGCCTGACCACCTACCTACGTGTCATAGCCAGAGTGTCTCGAAGGGACCTCTTTGAAGAAAAGTGAGGATCAGAAGAAAGACAATCCTTGCAGCCCTCACAATCGGGAAGCTGAGGTGCCGTCGCACGGTCGAAGAGTAGAAATGAGGACTTCTGAAATAATATGTTATATTATGTGTTTAGGCATTTTTGTGATTTTTCAGGAAGGTAAAGGTGAGGACATACAGAGTTGTGTTAGCTGCATTAAGACTACGAAAACAGGTAACCAAATATCCCAAACTCTCATTTGGCACTCACAGTATGAGTGTAGGGGAACTGTATCTAAGTGTAGATTTTTAGATATAGATTACAGTGTGTGCAAACCAATATCAGGAGAGCCTAAATGTTTTCATCCCCAATTCCAACCCTGTACAATTTGGTTGGTAATTCGGAACTGTAACTCCCAGGGAACCTTGATAAATAGTACTGTGATAAATACCTTACATTCTTCGGGCATTCTACTATTTGATGCATGTAAGGCTATCTCTGGTAGTGGAAAACCTTGGAATGTAAGTGGTAATCTTAAATGGGAACGAACTTCTGGGTTTAATGATAAATATTTATGTCCCAGTAAAAGATCTACTGATCCTGATTGCCCAAATAGGGATTTTAATTTTTGTCCATATTGGTCTTGTGTAGGGTGGGCGACCTGGGGAAAAACAGTGGATCAAGATATGATTAACCACAGGTTGTCCACTACACCACACTTTAAGTCTATGGAATGTAATCCTGTCCATATGACCATCTCTAATCTTTCTTTCTAAGTTTGATCATCAAGTAAGTACTAGAGGTAAATCAGAGTGGCGGTTAAAAACCTCTATTATTGGTCAGGTATGTTTAGCCAGGAAAGGGCCATTGTGTACCCCAACTGTTGGCGAGTTAATATGTCTAGGACAGAAAGCCTATAATGCCGATACTAAAGATACTACTTGGTGGTCAGCTTCAAATGTCTCAGAGCCTACTAAACCGTTTGACAATTATACCCATTTAAATGAGGTATGGTTTGATTTATCTGCTACATCCAATTGGAAAGCCCCAGCGAATTTATATTGGATCTGTGGTAAGAAAGCATATTCAGAGTTACCTCAAGATTGGGAAGGGGCATGTGTATTAGGTATGCTCAAACCATCCTTCTTCTTGTTGCCAATTGAGACAGGAGAGACCTTGGGAGTTAAGGTGTATGATGTAAATCATAAAAAGAAGCGAGCATCCTTGAATATAGGTAGCTGGGAAGATGATGAGTGGCCTCCCCAATTAATTATTATGGACCTGCTACTTGGGCAGAAGATGGTACCTATGGATATAGAACCCCAATATATATGCTCAACCGTATTATAAGACTACAGGCGGTGGTTGAGATTATCACTAATAAGACAGCTCAAGTACTTTATCTTCTAGCTAAGCAAAATACTCGGATGAGATCAGCCATCTATCAAAATAGATTAGCTCTGGGCTACCTATTAGCAGTAGAGGGAGGTGTATGTGGAAAGTTTAATCTCAGCAACTGTTGTTTGCACATAGATGATGAAGGGCGGGCAGTGACTGAACTTACAAGCCACATGGTTAAACTGACGCATGTACCTACTCAGGTCTGGAATGGGTATAATCCTAGTAGTTGGTTTGGAAGTTGGTATGAGCAGCTTGGAGGGATTAAGGCATTAGTAGGAGGAGTAGTAGTCATCATATTCTTATGTCTCTTTCTGCCCTGCCTAATTCCATTAGTGATTAGTTTTGTCAACATAAACCAAGGTTTGAGGAAAATTGGCAAAAGATTTTGAATAAATGTAGCCTGGATCTAATTACACTCACCATTGAGGGGATTGAAGAAGATTTGATTGAATTGAAGCAAGAAATTAGTTTATTTACTTTAAAAGACCAAGCGGGACGTAGTGCGATAAGTAAAGTAGTGAATCACTAAATGGGTCATTTCAGGCAACTCGTACTCCGCGACTGCATGTTGTATAAAATATACAAATTTAATTGTGCATTCATGATGATGACGTATGGAGTTAGAAAGCTAAGGGTAGATGCCTATCTATACATGTCTCGGTGTACTTGTATATGTTATGTACTGACTGTCCTGTCTTGGAATAAATAAAGAATAAAAAAAAAAGAAACAGCAAATTCCCTTTGCCAAACATTTCATTAATTCTGGCCATTCGGTGGCACAACAACGTTTTCGGGCGATAGAATGTATCAAGACTCCTCATTTTGGTTGTTCCCTTGCAGATTCGCTCAAACGTGCGGAACTACGGTGGATTTATCGATTGGATACATTATTCCCACATGAGTTGAATGAAGACTGTGATTTTAATCCCTTCAGGTAATATGGTCATATACAATTGGTTAAGTTGCTTACATTTCTGGACAATGTCCATCATTTTTCTTTTTTGTCTTATTGGGACCGTTTTTTGTGGTTCCTTCTATTTTTTTCCTTTGCCTGTGAATGTCTGTATTTGCTATTCTTGACATTGATTTTATTTTTTCAGTTTAGTCTCTCTTTTTGGGTTGTTCACTGGTGGGCTGCCCTCCGATGATTGAACTCCTCTCAGAAATATACACCTGAATTTCGTCCCTTTTATGGACCTACATGATGGAAGATTCATGTCTACTTAATCATTATACATGTTGTATTGTATCTGACAGTTATTTCTCTATTGTCTGTGCAGGGTATGGATTGTCTAATTTGGTTTAGATTTGTTTTGATTTTTTGTATTTTGATGACCCTCTGTCACTTTAAGATGATGGTACCTTATACCTGCAATTGTTTTGTATGGCTTGAGATGCTTTGACTTGATTAGCATGCATCCTTGACTTCATCTCTAGGTGGACATTTTTTACATATGTTTATTAGTTTATACATTTATTTTTTCATTATATTCATCTATTTTGAATTTTTTCTCTTTTTATGTTAATATTTATTCATCATTTTTCTATTATATTTTTCTGATTGCTTTTCTCTACAGTGTATATCTTTAATATCAGGCTGGCAGACTTGCTTTATTCTTGTCTCCAGATTTGGAGCCAAGATAAATATACTTCTAGGCAGTAGTGATGTCCCGAACGGTTCGCCGAACGGTTCGCTACGGACGGCGAACATATGTGCTGTCATTGCTGTCATCATTGAGTAAACTTTGACCCTGTACCTCACAGTCAGCAGACACATTCCAGCCAATCAGCAGCAGACCCTCCCTCCCAGACCCTCCCACCTCCTGGACAGCTCACTAAGAATGCAGTTTCACAATGAATGTAAAATGGATGCTGTCCAGGAAGTGGGAGGGTCTGGGAGGGGGGGTCTGCTGCTGATTGGCTGGAATGTGTCTGCTAACTGTGAGGTACAGGGTCAAAGTTTACTCAATGATGACATAGGGGTCGGACTGAACAGCGCATATGTTCGCCATCCGCGGTGAACCGTTCGGCGAACCGTTCGGAACATCACTACTAGGCAGTGTCCCTGCTCCTTTTTTGGAGCGATATTTGCTTATTTGTGACTAGTCCGCATGTTTTTTTGCAGTGGAACGCACATGCGTTCCTCTTTGCGCTCCCTGCTTCCTGGTTTGTGGTTTTGCAAGGTGCCGACTGATTGCGCATGCGCACAGCATGCGAACAGACATATTTTTATATTGGAACGCAATGGTTCCACCAGATTTAGCTTATTTCCGGGTTCTGCGATTTTGAAGTGCTTGATGCTGTTTCGGATGAGCCATGTGGTCTGCCCATATAGTACCACTCCGGACTCTCAGGCTCAAGGAGGATCAGACCCTTGAGTTCGTTGGATCCAAGTAGTGGAGGTTAAAAGATGCACTCACCGCCAGCCAAACCTCTGGAGAAGAATACTTTAATGTAGATCAAAAATCAATGTAAAATGTATAAAATAAAATCACCCTGCACATTGAGGAGATGTAAAGTCCTGGCAGTCAAAAGGAGTTACAGTCCAAACGTCCTCTCACTGTAGAATCCAGCCGGTCTCCCTCTGTCTCTCTCTGTTACCACGTGTAGTTACTTCTGGGTTCGGCATGCAGCTATGCTATGTGTATGTGTATCTGTATGTCACTTTGTGTATCTGAGTGTGTGTCTGTGTTTGTCTGGGTGTGTGTATCTGTGTATTACTGTGTATCTGAGTGTGTGTGTATGTGCCACTGACGTGGTCATGATGCTTGGAGTAACCCTTTAACCACTGTGAAGAAGTTATGAGACCAGTTCATATGGTTAGTAAAATAAAATTTTGTCAACAATTTTCTAAGTTAGTCTTCATACTACTGACAGTCACAATCACAAGCAAAACATGTTTTTTATTAAGATATCTTTAATTGAAGAAAAAGCTCAGTATTTAATTTTAACAGACACCCCCAGACTTCTGTTGGTTTTCCAGGAAGGAAAGAATACTTAACAATTAGCACAACTGTTCAACATTTCTTGTGAATGCACAATCATATAAAAATATATTTCACTGTCATGTGCATAATTTTTTTTTCTCACTCAGTAGAACTGTCTTCTTTGCTCGTTTTCCTTGGTTTCTTATACATATTACATGTTGGAGTGCTCGATCCACATAAGAAATTTGGATAAAGTATATACTTTGCATTATATGAAGTACTGCGCAGGCATCTTGCTATATCTTTGTCACACTTGCACGTCAGTTTTTGGCATCTGTCCTCTAACACATCTGAAAGACAAAAGTAGTTTCCATTGAGAACATCAATTTTATTGGGAATAGTTTTACATCTGACCTGCTTCTTTATTGAAATACTTCAAATGCTGTTACTGTTATCAGAAATCCTATCAACTAATAGTGTAGACACACCGGGCTCATGTGTATAGGGACATGTTTAACCCATTCATGACACATAAAGGGAGAATTCAAAGTGAATTTAAGGCCAAATTAGCCAAACTGGAAAAATTCTCTAAGTAATCAATGCTTTGAGAAAGGCTACCTTGGACTAAAATTTGAAATTCAATATGAATTCACTTTGAAGTCACACCTTAGTGAATAACCCCGACAACTTGACACACCAGGACATAGTGGGACATCGTTAACCAATTGTCATGAAGGTGGTCAGCAATTATTAAAGGAACTCTATCTATGTATACATACATTTATGTATTGTTACAGTATAACGCGGATATCGTGGGTTAATACCGAATAGGGAGTTCACCTTATTACGGGAATAGCAACTCACGAACGCTTCAATTCACCGAACTGAGAATCAGCCGAAATCCTTCTCTCCTGGAACAGGCAAAAGAATACTCCAAAGTAGCAATCCCCCCAAACACGAGACCAAGCTCCATCTTGAGGGTAAAACAGGATTCTGGTTTATTGAGGGCTACCTGCCCCGTATTTATGCAGGTCTCCCACCTGGTGGACACTCCCCTAGGGGACCAGATGGAAGACTGGGACAATTGAGGTACAGTAGCCAATCACAGTGGCTCAGGTATAAACACTCCCCTTTGTACAGGTAAACCCCTCCTCTCTATCCTGGAGATAATTGGGAAGAAATCCAATTATCTCCAGGGATAGAGGCAAACCGCCATGTTACATGGTTTTAATAAAAACACATAAAAATCCATAAATGTAAAACTACCGAATGCATTTAATTCGTGTAACGTATCCCCAGGTAGCCTAGATCTGAGCGCACATTACTACCGAATAGCGCTCAGACCCGATGCACACAGTTCAATCGCCATGGAGTCAAAGTCTTTCACACTGTTCTTTCTGTATACGAATGACTCCATGGGATGGCTATCTGGGTTAAGTCCATTCGTACAATAAAAAGTCCCGAACAGACCGGCGTTCGTATGCCTGATGATAAGAAGGGCGGTCGGCGGTTTCAGCGGTGTTCGGTAGAAAAAGTGTCCGGTTTGAGTTCCATAAGTTCATCGTCGAACACAGCTGCTCATTCGTGTGTTTAAAATGGCCGCCGCCTCGTGTTCGACATACGAACGATGACCACCCAGCATACGGTTCCAATGAAGAGGTGTCTGCGGTTAACCACAACGTTCTAATTGAGGCCAATAGGTTAACCAGCAGCACACTTCTCTTCTGGGTAGACGGCCGTTCGGTAGTTTTATTCGGTATAAGCTAAAATAAACGAACAGGGACGTACGGGCAGGTAATTCCATGACTGTATAACAAAATAGACAAACCAGCAGCTAGTACTTAGACAGATGGATCTGTCACATGTATAATGCTTTATTGTTGCACTACCAGTTTCGATTATTATTAGATTGTAGATTATTATTTTCCCTGAAATAAAGTGTTGACTTATTTCTAGTCCAGCAGAGAGACCGTCTGTGGCGGACTCTGTATTATTCCCTCCGGTTGCCCATACCTATCTCGATATTTCCCGAATTGAGAAGTACCCCCTTGTTCATGGACCAAATGGAGCATGTGCGGCCCCCGCTTTTATACCCTTCGAACACCGACCACCCCTGGCATGTTAACTTCAAACGAACAATTAGTTCAAGTGCTTTCCCTGCTGCTTGTTCCTCTCCGAGACAAGTTAGGAGAACGGCGTTCGAGAGAGAGGAACTACCGAGCAGGGGGAACATTCGCTCCCTAACAGTGTTAGGTGTTCATGCAGGAACCCCCGGAAATAGATCGACTGCTGACCCTTTTCTTGTGGAACTATTCTGGGCTATCGCCTCGTGGCCGGCCAAAACTTTACCCGGATGGCGATTTCGCTCTACCGAATGGATTTAAGCACTATTTGAACAATTTGGGCACTCAGATCTGGGCTATTCGAGGATGTACGATTTGTGGGATTCCTGTAATATTTTGATATGTTTTTGGAGTATTTTGTATGTTTTGTATTCGTTTCTGTAACTGAGAGATAATTGAGTTAGCCTTCCTTTGACTCAATTATCTCCCAGACTGAGGGACACATGGGAAGGGTTTGTGTGATGTTCAAGGGAGACCCCTTGCTGGGGATCTGTGCATAAAAAGCTTAGCTTTGAGCTGAATAAACTAGTTGACTCCCTGTGTGTCGTCCAGTTACTGGGGGAATGGGCTATAATCACTGAACAGCGCTTTCTTCCAGCTCCAGAGGACTTCAGCTGAGATATTCGGTCTCAGGATTGCAGCTCCACTACACAGTCCCACCCCACAACTTTTCTTTGCCCACTGGGAGATAATGAGTACTGAAGAACTCACTCAAAAGAAAAGCATTGAGAGGCATGTACAGCAAACGACTCACTGTCCTCATAAAGATGCATTGATTGAAATGCTTTTCTATGGGAAGCACTACTGTTTTGTGCTGAACCACAAAGCAATCAGGATAAGCAGGTGGGAGAATGCAACCTTGTCACTTTATGAAAGTGCCAAATTCTTTTGAAATCAGAACTTTTATAAAATCACAAACATGGGGCACTGTTAACCCCTAAAGTGCCTCAACAAGCTGAAGTGTTTTAGGAGTGTGGAGTAATTTATTAAAGGAACAATCCAAACACCATAACCGCTAGAGCACACTCTAGTAGTCATGGTGTGCTAGGAGTGCCCTGGTGCTCCCCCGGTTGTATGTATTTGTGGCAAACTCCCCTTCCCACGTGAGTTTGCCATAAGCTCCTAGAGGAGCTTCCTTGCCAGCCTCCTGCCCACAGAATATGTGCCTTGCAGGGAAACCTATAAAAGACTGTTTAAATGGCTTGGTTCGTGTAATTTCCCTATACCAAACGAACCTATACCGTTCGGAAACTGAAGAACCGCACGAACCAGGGACCACCAGGAGCTTGTTAACCTCTATTAACACCTTGAAACGGTTCTCACCTCAGTGTTCTTATTGTTCGTCTGGGTGGCTGCAATTTGTATGATCGACCACGAGGTGGCGGCCATCTTGTTCGCATGAACGCAGGCAGCAGTGTTTGGTTGTCAAGTTCATGGAACTAAAGTCGGACACTGAAACTCCCGAACACTGCTGGAATTCCATCATCGCCTGCGTTCAGTTCTGTAAATCCTAGAAGAACACTGTTCGGTGGAATCGTTCGTCTGGATGAGGGGAACAAGCTCCACAGCTCAAATAGAGACTACGTTCGGTATTTTATCAGTTTTTATGTTACCGAAGTTGACTGGCCGCTAGCACTGATTTCATGGAACTATTTTGGGCTTAAGCCACATGTGCAGTTGGTCAAAAATGGGACTTCCATGGAAAACCCAAACCCCTGAACCGATGTGGGTGATTTTTGGATATGTTGGTCCCCCAGATGGGGGCTATCAGGAGATGTGACTTTTGTGAGGCTTTCGTGTATTATATGTGTATTTTGGGGTGTTTTGTAAATTGTTATATTTTCTGTCCCTGAGAGATTATTAATTTACAAGTGTTTGTTCAGGTAATTATCTCTCAGGTACAGAGGATCCTGGGAGGGATTTCCCTGTTGTTTTGTGTGGGAGACCCCTTGCAGGGGCTATTGTATAAAAGCAGGCAATCTGGCCAGATTAAAGCATTCCAGTTTGTACTCCCAGAACTGTCGTTTGGTTACTGGGAGGGGAAGGGGCTAATCATTGTTCAAGCTTGTTCCAGTGTGGAGGATTCAGCAGAGAAAGTCCTTGTAAGGGCTAGAGATCCCAGGACTGAATGTCGTCCAGTCCCTGGGAGTGGATAGAGCTAGTCCTCTATTCGGCTCCAGGAAGGAGAGGTTCCAGGACCCCAGTCAAGGCACGACGACTGGGGGCAGAAGCACTGAGGTTTTTCCCCTGTTAAAGCTAGGAAGCGGTCCTTTGGTGGAGGTACCCAACCGGGGTACAGGGAGCTCTGTTACAGTAGTCAAACTGTTTTTAGAACATTTTAGGCAATAAGCAAGCTCTGCAGTGGAGAGATTAGCTCAGGATAGCTAATGGAAGCATTGTCTTTGGAGTGGCTACATTCTAAATGTTGTGCAAGGTCAGTGCTAGACTATTTAGAGTCCTAGGCAAGACCAGCTACTTGCATCCCCTCCAAATCAAAAATTGCCAACTTTTTGTGTCTCTTTCTCCCCTCAGCCCCTTTGTATGTCTCTTGTCCTCCCCACCCCCATTTGTGTGTCTCTTTTTCCCAGCACCTTTGTGTGTCTCTGTCATGATCTTGAGCAGGTCAGATAGGAGACTTTGGCCAGAGTTAACATTAGATGGTGATTTGGACATAATAAAGAAACAGGAAATCCTATAAATGAAATTATAGGGAGAAGGAAAATAAGAGAAACAGGTTTAGGCAATATGCCCTATATAGATTATAAACAGAATGTAGGTAGATAAGAGAACCTATAGATAGAAGTATAGGTTGAATATAGAGAGATAAGTAAAACAGGATAGAACAGAACAATAAGGTTTCAGGATAATAGGTAAAGCATAACTTTAGTGAATCAGCCCCCTCTTGGAAGGAGTACTGATAGAGTATGAAAATAACACCTTGTAATATTACTTAAAGGCAAAGTCCAGATTGGTGTAATGCAGGTTGGTATAAATCAGGATGGCAGGATAAAGCAGGATGATATAATTGGTTAGGCTGGTTTGGAGCAGGTTGGTATAATGCTGGTTGGCAGGATAAAGCAGGGTTGTAAAGCAGTTCAGGTTGGTAATGGAGCAGGTTGGCAACAAAAGGTAGATAACGAAGATCAGGTTTGTTTCCAATAGGCAAGTAGCAGAGAAGGTAAGTCCATAGGAACTATTATAGGAGCCAGGAACTGAAGTCTTTCAGGATGAGCATCAACTTCATTGTAAAGGCAATATGGTGAGTTGGGTGTAGCCTTTTGTAGCTTCTATATTAGTCCAGGAAGGTGAGGATGATGACGGTAAAACATAATCTGTGCAGGAACTTGGTTTTAAAGAAACAGAATAAACGGAACAAAAAGTCTTGTTTGTCAGGAGGATCCTGACAGTCTCTTTCTACCCCCAGCTTCTTTGTGTGTCTCCCCCTAGCCCCTTTTCCAGTCCTCCAGTGTGTCATTGTCCTCTTCCCCAGACCCTATGAATTCCTAGATAAAAGATAAGGCCAGGGACTAATGAAAGTATTTAGAAATTGGGCAGACTAGATGGGTCGAATGGTTCTTACCTGCCATCGCATTCTATGTTTCTATTTGTCTCCCTCAGCCCTTCTGTCGTTCTCTTTGTCCCTCCCAGCCTTCTGCATGTCAATTTGTTTTCCCCAACACCTCTGTGTATCTCTTTGTCCCTCCTCTTTGTCTGTCCATCACCCTCTTGTTCTTTTGTGATCTCTCACCTCCACCTGTTTACCTCCATTTAGTCTGGGCACACCCTAATCCCTGCGGCACGCCTATGGAGTGAGACCGGCAGGGGAGATCTCAGGATCTCCCCTGTCGACTCATGCAGAGCCGGCACTATCCAATCGCCGGCTCTGCTCTCAGCCTCCCTACCCACCGACCCACATGCAGGGAGGGAGGCAGGAGAGGAACCGGGGAGCTATTGCCGGCAACGCTAGATCTCGTGAGAGTGAACTCTAGCCCCGCAGGCTAGAGTTCACTCTCCACTGGACCACCAGGGGTGGCAGAGAGGACCCCCCCTCCCTACATAAGGTGAGAAGGGAGGGGGGATATTAAGTAATCTGCCCCCCACCTCCACTGGACCACCAGGGAAGGCAGCAAGGAACAAGAACCCCCCCTCCCTACATAAAGTAAGAAGGGAGGGGGGATATTAAGTAATGTACCCACACACATACAGCACCCACAGACATACACAGCACCTGCACACATACAGCACCCACACACATACAGCACCCACAGACATATAGCACCCACACACATACACAGCACCAACACACATACAGCACCCACAGACATACACAGCACCTACACACATACAGCACCCACAGACATACACAGCATCTACACACATACAGCACCAACAGACATACACAGCACCTACACACTTACACAGCACCCACAGACATACACAGCACCTACACACTTACACAGCACCCACACACATACACAGCACCCACACACATACAGCACCCACACACACATACACAGCACCATCACACATACAGCACTCACATACAGCACCCACACACACAGCACACTTACACACAGCACACAAACAGCACCCTCACACACAGCACACAAACGGCACCCTCACACACAGCACACAAACGGCACCCTCACACACACACACAGCACACTAACAGTACCCTCACAGACACAAACAGGACCCTAACAAACACACACACAGCACACTACCAGTACCCTCACACACAAACAGCTCCCTCACACACAGTACATTAACAGCACCCTCACAAGCGCACACACACACACACACACACAAACAGCACCCTCACACACAGTGCATTAACAGCACCCTCACAAGCGTGCACACACAAACACCCTCACCCACATAGCACACTACCAGTACCCTCACACACACATCACACTAACAGCACCCTCACACAGCACACACACAGCAGTGTATGTGTGTGTGTATAAATGTGTATATATATATATATATACATATATATATATATACATACATACATATATATACGCGGTGTGTGCTTGTGCTGTAGGGTGCACACCCTAATGCAATAGGCTGCGCACGCCTATGATTGCCAAACAACACCTACTCATGGTATTATCTAAACTGAGCTATTCCAACCAATGTAAGTCCATAACACTGTTTTAACATGTAGAATCGGGTCTTTCAGCAACTCTGTTAATGCAATACATCAATCCAGAGGTAGACAGGGCCGGACCTGCCCACCGGAATACCGGGAAACACGCAAAACTATGTAAAATCTACATAGAACAGAAAACAGACAGAAGGTAAACTGGTCCTTAGAATGGCCAGATTAATACGTTGAAAGATAGAGAATAGTCAAGGGAGCCAGAAATACACAAGATCGATAAGAGAGCCAAGTCAGGGAAACCATAGATTAGAGTAGTCAGGAATAGCCAAAGTCAAATACCAGGAATATCATATACAAGGACAAGAAAACGCACTCTTGGATACCAGGAATGGACACCACGGCAGGGCAATGGGCTAGGGAATTCAGGGGTTTAGATACCACTCCTTGGGCTGTGATTGGTCAGAGCTTGGCCTCTGACACCTGAGCATGCGTTCTCGTGACCTTTGGAGTCAGGGCTACAAATGGCACATTCTCGTGACCTTTGGAGTCAGGGCTACAAATGGCCGTGACCTTGTGTGACCTGGCGTGACCTCGGTGCCATTTTGGATACCACGTGTGGAGGGGACGGATGCCACAACGGGTCGGCTCCCGGCTCGCTGCTCAACAGGTAATTCCTTCAACCTGTCAGTGTGGTCGCACAGATCGTTTGCGACCACGTGTAGCCGCGAGCCGCACAGTGCAGCAGCCCCCGGTCCCCCCACTCAGTACACACACTCACATTGGGGACCTGAGGCGCCAAGGTCACCTCGTACCTCTATATTCTAAAAGACACTTGTTTATCAACTTGTGAGCAACAAGGGCTGGAAATTGAACTTACAATGCTGCTAGCGAGTGAGACATAAAGAGCAGGAGCCAGGAGTAAGTGCAGTGATGAAGGCAGTCTCGGTCCCTGCCTGATAGCCGGCACACACAGGAAGCATGTGACCTGGCAATCAGGCACACATCAAGGCAGCCCACCCGGATCTTTTACAGTGTGTAAATGCTGTCAGGAAGGGAGGCCTGTCAGAGAGCTGCAGGCAGGCTGCTGGGAAGGAGCTAAGCACAGCAAGATGGGTTCTTTTGGCATAGCACCCAGCCCAGGTATCCCAGGTATTTCATGTTCATTTTATGGATTCTTAGAGTGTGTGTATAATTGAGGGTATATTTGTGAGTGTGTTTGGTGTGTATGTGTTAATATGGATCAATGTGTGTGTGTCAGTATGGATCAATGTGTGTGTGCGTCTGTGTGTCAGTATGGATCACTGTGTGTGTGCGTGTGTCAGTATGGATCACTGTGTGTGTGTCAATATGGATCACTGTGTGTGTGTTTATGTGTGTCAGTATGGATCAATGTGTGTGTGTGTATGTGAAAATATGGATCATGGTGCGTCAGTATGGATCAATGTGTCTGTGTGCCAGTATAAATCAATGTGTATGTCAGGGAGTATGTATGCAATAGTGATTGCGTGCCAGTGCTTGTATGGGATGCAGCATTCGTTTTTTTGTTGTGTGTGCCAGTGTCTGTTGATGAGTATATGTCAGTGTGTTTATGTGTGGGCATCAGTGACTACACAACAGTGTGTGTGCCAGTGAGTATCCATTAATAATCCATGTGTCTGTCTATATCTGTTTTTAAAAAAATAAAAAGGAAAAAACAGATTGAATTTAAAAAAATAAATATAGTTTTGCTTTATCTATGTGTTATGTGGGAGTATTATGCATCTATATATTTGCACAAATGTATATTAATTTATATATATATAAACACAAGCTTAATCTTATAAATTATTATGTTTATAATATATGATATACATGTATATAAATGTAACAAGGGTTTTACATTTGAAACCTTACAAGTGAAAATCTAAACTGCGTAATTTAGACCAAAATAGCAGATTTGAAAAATCCAATTTAGCCATAGTGACAGCTTGATTATTGTAGTCTAATTTTTTGGAATTTCGATTTTTATTCACAAAAATTATTTGTTTAGTGGATAACCCTGCCCTTCTCTCAGTCTTTCATTCCCTGGTATCAAACTATATCCAACGCAGAGTGCACTCATAGGATTATAGTCACCTAAATAACTTTAGGTTAATGAAGCAGTTTTAGTGTATAGATTATACCTCTCTGGTTTCACTGCTCAATTCACTGCCATTTAGGAGTTAAATCACGTTGTTTCTGTTTATGCAGCCCTAGCCACACCTCCCCTGGCTCTGATTGACAGAGCCTGTATGAAAAAAAAACTGGTTTCACTTTCAAACAGATGTAATTAAACAATTTTATCTCTTGCTCTGTAAATTTAACTTTAATCACATAGAAGAGAATCTTGCAGAGTCTAGCAAGCTATTAATATAGCAGGGGATAAGAAAATCTAAATTAAATAGAACATGCAATAAAGGAAGGATAAACATTAGATGACTCTCTTTACAGGAAGTGTTTAGGAAGGCTGTGCAAGTCACATGCACTCCTAAATGGCAGATAATTGAGCATTGAGACTGCAGGGGCATGATTTATTCACCAAAACTGTTTCATTAAGCTAAAGTTGTTTTGGTGACTATAGTGTCCCTTTAATTTAAATCAGACATGCAGCAGCAGCAATCAATGTTTCATTCCCATTACTAGACTATTTAAGTTATGGGGATAAAACGTTGGGTAAATAATTTTCAATCTTTTGGGTTTTTCCACCTCTATATCTGTGGCAGATATAGAGGTGGAAAAACCCAAAAGATTGAAAATCTAGCCTATCATTCTATCTACCTCCAGGGCCTTTGATATTTTTTCACCAGTCCAAACTTTATTGTGCCAACTGTGACAGTTGGCACAATAAATGTTAGGGCTGGTGAAAAACAATAAATGTTAGTTGGCACAATAAATGTTAGGGCTGGTGAAAAAATCTCCAGGGCTGCTTTTTATTCCCAGTCTGGCCCTGGAGGTAGATAGAATGATAGGCTAGATAAATTGATAAAATATATACCTCCTTTACAAGTACTGAATCCCTAGTGTATAATGCTAGTTTAGAAAGGGGTTCATTATCTGCCTATCCATATATTTCATGTCAGTTTATTATGAGTTAACAGAGTAAAGTGATATCTACTATAAAAAACATGTGGGTAAACTAGGATATCTAAAACAGCTATC